AATACTGCTCTGAAGTAATCTATTCTACAGGAGAGGACAGGCATCCCTAAGAATCTTCCACTCCTCCACAGTCAGAAATTTGGTGCCTGTTCTGCTGCATACAAATCGTACTGTGGATTTATTTATTCTTCCCAGAACCCAGGTCTGATTTTTATGTAGTATATTTCTTGGAATACTGGGATAATTGGGTGAAAATATGCCATAGTCAAAAATTTCTTGAGAACATAGAATCAGAGACAATAACAAAGTGATATGATATCAAAGTTCTTTTTAAGAAGTCACCTATCTCTATTCTTTTTTAAATTTATCTTTTATTTTTTTATTATTAGTTGTTCAAAACATTACAAAGCTCTTGACACATCATATTTCATACACTTGATTCAAGCAGATAAGCAGATTATGAACTCCCATTTTTACCCCGTATACATATTGCAGATTCACATTGGTTACACATCCACTTTTTTACATATTGCCCTACTAGTGTCTGTTGTATTCTGCTGCCTTCAGCAGAATACCTATCTCTATTCTGACACCTGATAACTTTATGTAGAATTTTGACTTGAATTGATGTCATACTGAACTGCCCATTTTTGTAAACTATGCCATTCATTTTTGTTCATATAAAGATAAATATTTTTCCATATCTGATATCCTGAAATATTGCCCAGTATAAAATTTCTCAACAGCAGTTAAACAAGCTTAACATTAAGTTCTGTCATGAGGATGGAATGGAGTTCTACAAGATCAAATTACTTGGACTCATTTAATAAGACAAAGGTGATTTCATACAATCCTCTCACCTACCTTGGGCTTCAACTCCTTCTGACAAACACTTGTTGACCCCTTCCAAATAGAGCATTCTTTTTATCATAGAAAAGGAAGATGTTAAAAGACTTCAGTTATTTTACCTTAATTCTCTATTTTGTTTTTGCCATTTTATCATTAGCCCCAAGCTATAAGCCTTAGCTAGAGGTAGATTTTATTGTTATCCCCATAAAATAAGAGGTGGGGCACAAAGATTAGTTATAAACATAAAAATAAGTTGAAAATAAAATGTATTTGGTGATAACTTTATAACTATTTTTGTTGTTTAATATTTTAAGATAGTTCTCCACATCAATTTTGATTAACTAATCACTAATCTGTTTTACCTTAATGGCTTCAGGTAGTTAAGCTTTACAAAAAAATCAGATCCATAGCTTCCTGGGATATTGAATTTGCTTTTCAAGGCCTATGATTTCACAAAGTTACACAACACTATTCATGAATAATTTATTTTAAAACCTTATACCTGGATAGTTTGTTACAGTTTGCAAGACTTTTCTTCACTTTTGATCCTAATAACAATTTTATGAGGTAGGTGCAGTACTCTTAAACATATATTTGTTCTTTCTCCCCTTTTCTAACACAGACTCCTAAGTATTTTGTGGTTTTGCCTGCTAATGAGTTGAGTGATGGCTGGCAGCCCCTAGGTAGCTTCAAAATGGGGGGTTGGTTACTGAAAAGATCAAAACATAATTAGAGGGTTGGGAATTTCAGCCTCACCTCCAAACTACAGGGGAGAAGAACTAAAAATTAAGTTATCACTAGCAGCCAATGATGTAATGAGTCATGCTTACCTAATGAAGCTTCAATAAAATTCCCCAAAGACTAGGTTGAAGTAGCTTTTGGGTAGTGGAACACATGGAGACTCCTGGAGGGAAGTACCCTTGGAGAGAGGAGATGGAAGCCCCACACTCCTTCCTGCATGCCTGGCCCTATGCATCTCTTCTGTCTGGTATTTGTATGTATCCTTTATGACAAACCAGTAATGTAGTAAGTATTTCCCTGAGTTCTGTGAGCTGCTCTAGCAAATTAATTGAACCTGGAGAGGGGGTTGAGGAAAACTTGATTTATAACTGGTCATTGAGAAGCACAGATAAAACCCCAACCTGGAGATTTTGATTGGCATCTGAAGTGGGGGCAATCTTGTGGGACTGAGCCTCCAGTCTATGAGTTCTCCAGGTAGAGAACAGAATTGAATTAAATTAGAGGACTCCCAGCTGATGCCTGCTGACTAAGTGATTGTTAGGTGGGTGGGAGAAACCACATATCTGTGATTACAGAAGTGTTCTGTGTTGTAAGTTTAGGAAAAATTGAGTTTGTTTTTTTCCAGTTTCCTCGGGACGTAAAGTCAGGACTTTTTCAGATGCTCTTTAAGATAGCTCAGTCAAAATGAAACCCTATAAATATGTAAATTTAAATGTAAAATGTACTTGGATTAATATTAAGTGTTATGCATAAGACATTCCTGATTCTTACTCTACCCTTTACTCCCATCATTAAAATTGTTTTATTTTCCACTTTATTTATGTATTGTATAATTTTTTAAAGAGTGAATTGCTTTTTTTTGTAATTGGAAACAATGAAAGTTTCTTTAAATGTTAGATTGAATTAGCTCCTAAGGGGTTATCCACTCCATCCCCCAAATCCATCAGTATAAGTTAGTTGTTTTAGGGCTGGGGTTGTAGCTCAGTGGTAGAGCGCTTGCCTTGTACGCATGCTGCCCTAGGTTCATTCTTGCACCACATAAAAATAAACAAATAAAAATAAAGATATTTTTAAAAGCTACTTGTTTTAGTACTAAATATGGGATATCTATATTACTGAGTGAAATGAAAAACTGTTAGATATATAATTAGGATTCTCTGAACTAGTCTGAAGCTAAGATTAAGGAATCAACTCTTAATGTTCAATCCACCACTGTTAGAAAAATAGTCTTATCATGAAGCTTTCAGAATAGTGTAGATCCCTTGGATTTTCAAACATAAACAGGGTAAGTATTATTATTAGATGGACAAATACATTTATAGTTATTAATAAAAATAAGTTAGCATTAACATCAACCTCATAAAGGAGAAATAAAACATTGGAGATACAGGTCATGAAAACAACAGTGAATTCTCAGAAAAGGAGTAGAAACTTTTTTCACAACAATTAAGCTCTCTGAGGTGAACAAGGATAGTCAACATCTGCTTTGTAGTTAGATAGGTTTGTCTACCAGACAGTGCCTAATCTCACTTCTTTATCCCTGAGTTTGAAGCTTTCTCTTCCTTATACCAGGGATGGGGTACAGTGATGAAGGAGTCTCAAGGATTGAGTGAAGGTATCCATTTCACAGTTAATTGTAACCCAACTGCCTGAAAATACCATATATCTCATAAATGTGGAGGGCAGATATGGTCACCATTTTATGGAAGAAGGAATTTTTTTTATTCCTCACCCTGATGTCTTTATTTAATAGGTCACTTTTGGTTGACAGCAGATAAAAATTAAAATTTCTTTGTTTAACAGCACTGTGTGCATGTGAAATTTAAATTTCAACAATCAGAGCTAACTAGATGACCCCACTTAGCACACATTCCCTGTTCACACATAAAATTTATTCAGAACAATGCTGCTAATGACATTAGTGACTTACAGATCTGATATTGTAATGGGTCGTTTGTCGGACCACATGCTCCTAATTAAATTTCCATTGATTTTTGTGGAAGAGTATCAAAAATCAAGAATTAGATTTGAAAGCTCTGCACACAGTACACAAATATAAATGTAAATACATAGTAATTTTTAAAAGACTTTTAAGGTTGATTTTCAGCTTTATGCATACTCCTTCCCTTCAATTGAAATTCAAAGATTCCTTTTAAAGTCACTTAAAGCTAATATTTCTGAAGTTCACCCTAAGAAGATTTATTAGATAGCCAAGCACAGAACAATTTTTAAATTAATTAAGCAGTACAATATAGCACATAAGAGTTTAGACTCTAAAGTGAATTTCCCTATGTTCAAATCCCAGATCTGCCATTTACTGATTATTAATTTTGGGAATTTTTTCAGCCTTTTGGTATCTGTGCCTCAGTTTCTCACTCATAATCCTTATAAAATTATTGTGAAGGTGAGGTAATTCATGTAAAGCTCCTTGAGCAGGACCTTATCAATAGTGAACGATCAGTAAATCATTACCATTTTTTCACTCAGCAAAGAAAAAGTTGGCTAGCCAACTGAAGGACATTGTCTTACTCTCCAATGTAGTAGTGGTATGCTAGATCCTGTAGTACATATACACATAAGGAAGATACTGCTTTTCTGAAGCCACCCTCAGTGAATATTTTGAAATTCAGTGATGCTGAAATATCCAGCAAGGCAAAATCTGCTGTGTAAGTAGGCATTATGATTTGACTTTCAAGTCATAGTAAATATTTGTGCTAAACACTTTTAAATTTCATTTTTTTTTCAGGTAAGGAACTTCTTAGGACTTATAGCTCCCTTAACAACTGGATATTAAAGAGGCAATCAAGCTCAATGTTTCCTAGGGCAAAAATAAAGTGAGGGTAAATTCCTTTGTTAAAATGCTAAACAATAAGTATAAATGCCAAAAAATGCAATGTCTTGACCATTCCTACACTACCCTTGTCCCCATTTCTGGATAGTAATTCAATAATTTGGAAAAACCTCTTGCAATGTATGTGAGAAAGGCACACCATGACTGGAACAAGATAAACAGGTTCACAAATTAGACTTGCTAGAAGGAGACCCCATAGCAATCTCCCTTGACTGCAGTTATCACCTGGATTTTTTGAAGAATGCCGTTTTGTTCCTGAAAATTAGTGTGTCCATAGGCTAATGCCTTTTAGTTTGGTCTGAGATTCTGGACTGATAGTACTTTGGCTTGTCATCAGTTTGTTAAGCTTATGAACCATGGGAAAGCCACTTTCATTTGGTGTTTGTTACTTTTTTTTTTTCCTCCAGCAGTATTGGCATTGGTATGTCTTTGTTTGCGAATTTCCAATTCCATGGATTTGCAAGCTCTGGTTTCAGTCCTGAAATTCTACATTTCTTATCTCTACAGACTCCTTTACCTACTGGGAAGTTTTATAACTATCTCCATGGCAAGGCAGGGCCTCTCCTGGCACGCAAACCTGCCAGATGAATCCGCCCTTCAGGGGTGTGTCAGTACCATTTCCTGGAGCAATCTCACAGGGTGGCTCCACTTTTCATTTGAGCTCAAGTACTCTGCTGCCTCCTCTGCAGCTGCCAGACCTGCTCCTGCTGCTGCTCAGGTAACTCATCTCTCCTTTGCACCTCTGTGGGCAGAGGTGGTTGACAAATGGCTTCTGCACATGTGCCTTCCTGCACTTTTTAAAATTGTCATTATTTATTCTTAGGGAGAGCATCTGGGGAGTTCCTTTCTGACCACCGAGAAGATGATGAGCTCAAGCTATTGGAGTGAGACCAGCAGCAGCAGCTGTGGGACCCAGCAACCCCTAGAGGTGCTGCAGTGCCAGCCCCAGCATTACCACTGCTACCATCAGTCAAGCCAAGCCCAGCAGCCTCCAGAAAAAAATGTAGTCTATGAGCGAGTGAGGACCTACAGCGGGCCCATGAACAGAGTGGTGCAGGCCTTGGACCCCATCAGCCCACGGGAAGTGCTCTCCCCTCTCAAAACTTCCTCTTCCTACCAAAACTTGGTTTGGAGCGACCATTCTCAGGTACCACAAAAGACAGCTATGCCATTAGTGGAGAAGGAAATCTTGAACCTCATTTCTCTCCTTCCTTTCTGTTTATTTGCCTCTATTCTACAGGATGTCTCTTAGCAGATTTTGGTTACATATACATTGGACAATCTCCCAGATTCTATCGGTTGGCCTTTTTTTTTTTTTTTTCATTTACTAGTGCCTGTACTTGTTCACTTACCAGTTCCAATTGTTTTCATAATCTAACTTGAGCATTGGTTTTCTGTTGGAGTTGATTGAAAGAACTGAGATGAATGAGGTAAAATTTGCCTCTACTGCAAAGAAAACTTCATCTTGAATACACTCATTTTTTAGAACAGTTTCCCATTGATTTATTTCATATCAGAAGCAAACAATTTTAATTATTTTTAGTTATACATAAAGGAGAATCCATTTTGATATAATTGTAAAAGCATGGAATATATTTTATACTAGTTAGGTTTTTTCTTGTAGCAATTGGAGTGGTGCAAAGATAATGGCATGTAGGAAGTGACAAGTAATTATTTGTGTTCAGCTAATAGTTTGCTGCTTCAGGGTAAGTGACAAGTGCAAATGTCTGTTTGAATTATCATATGAGTTTCATCTTCTGAAAACAGCACATTGATTTTTGTACAAACTAGGTGAATAATTGATGGAATATTGGTAGAACAAGTATAGAAAGAGGAGGTACAGCATTAAAGAATGCAAGAGGTAACCAATTGTTATATAAAGCTGAAAAAGACACAACTCTAATATACCATTTAAAATGAAACAAATTTGTTTCTAAGGTTTTTTCTTAATATTTATTTTTTAGTTGTAGATGGACACAATACCTTTATTTTATTTATTTATTTTTATGTGGTGCTGAGGATCTAACCCAGGGCCTCACACATGCTAGGCAATCAATTTACCACTGAGCCACAATCCCAGCCCCTCTAACTTTTTTTTAATCACCAATACCTGTGCTAATAATCTTGCCACTAAATGTAAAGTAATACTGCAAGACTACAGCTGTGTGTTTATTTTTATTCTCTGACTTTATTTACATTAATTTTACAAGTATTCAAACTTTCTTGGAGCTCCTAGCCAATCTGAAATTCTGTTTTCAAGATCCATTTGCACTGTGACAGACTCAAAATCCAACCATTGGGATATTGGCCCATGTTACAGTATTATACTAATTGACAATAGTTTGAGTTATTTATCCAAAACATAATTTAATTAGGATATGAAGCAATGTATCTAAAGTGCCTAAAAAATTATTTTAAAGATATTTTTCAAAGATATAGATAATCCCAAACACCAAATGCTTTAATTTTACAACACTTAGCTTAATTTCAGGGAAAAAATTTAAAAATCTAGGATTTAGTGTCAGTAATTTCCTTGTAGCAAAAAACTAACTATATTGAGCTCAAAGGAAAGGAAAATATAAGAACTAAAAATACCAGCTTATAGAAATGATAATAATAATGCAAATGTACATTCAAATAATCATTATTAAGATGCCAATGAACAACGTGGGTGTCATCTTTGTTCCATAGTGGCCACAAATCAATGAAGGTTGAAAACAATGATTACTGTTTTCATATGAATACTAAAATTATCCTATTTGTCATCTTTTAACACATTTAGACTCTTTTCATGTGAAGTTGGTAGTAAAAGAAAAGTAGATGTATAGATACTTAAAGGCTGAATTTTGGCAAATTACAAATATTGACAACAGAACAAGTTTTAGGATCATAGTTTACTGTGTGTTCCTTTGTTCAACTTTATTGTGTAATAATACCAGGTTCATGCTGGACAAACTTTTTACTAGTTTTTCCTTCTTTTACCTTATATTTACCAAAGTGATCTTTCCAGACTATCTCCATCTTGAAATACAGTTCCCCATTGAAAACTATATAAAGAAAATTAGGGATAGATAGTATGGCCATAAAAACCAAGGGAAGACATTGGAATGGAGGGCACTATGAAGTCTGAAGTTATTTATAAATAAAAAGAAAGAAAAGGTCTGGGTGTGGATATGGGAGGTGATATTCAAGTTATGTGGTAAACAAAAAGAAAAATAAGCCTTATTTCCTTGGTGAGACAATATGCAGGAAAATTTGACTATAAAATACCAAACTGAGTTGGATGTCAAATCCACTGTAAGAAAATATGAACATGAAACCCTTATTTTTTTCTTTTCTTGTTTATTGGAGGGGTTGCATTGTGATATTATGTAAAATAGTACATATGTGTGATCTGAAATTACCATCATGCTGATGAAATGGGAAAAATGTGATGGCAGCTTTTTTACACATACCAAGCACAAGTAAGCAATACATATTACTCAAAAACTTTTTATTTATTTGTTGTTATGTTTTAACAAAGTATCTGATTAATATGCCATGTTTCAGATGAGCTGGTAAATAGCAATTATTCTGATGCCAAAGTGTGTGACCTTGGCAGCTAGGGAAATGAATATTACATTCAGTTACTGGTCATCATGAATTAAATTAAAGTTTTACTTTATTTTTAAGCATTTTGGTGTTTGAATGACATTCAAAGAACTCATGGAATTTTAAAATAAATATTACCAGTAGTAAAATATGTTCCTTTCTGTAACTTAAATCAATGCCATTCTGATTTGCTCCCTGGAACTTAATTTTAACTCATGTAGTGGGCTTTTTAGATTTGACCAAATGCTTTTTGCAGCACTTTAGTATTTTTTATTTCTGTTTTTTTTCTTTTAGAATGTGGGTTTCCCCTATTGCAGTCTTGTGCACTAACATGGTGTTATGGATGTCAAATTAAAATTTCTCTAGATATATAATGTGCTTTGTTTCTTGCCTGTGATCAATCAGGTATATTTTATGATTTTCTCAGTTATTATCAAATGTAGAAATCAGTTGCTAACAAGTTGTCTGAATTCATAGTAGAATTAAAATTATGTCTATTCATATGAATATGTATAATCAAACCCAGGTATAATCAAGGTCATGGATACATTTTAGAATTCAGTATAGTATTATAAATAATTGAATAGTGTTCTAGAAGCTGCTTAAAATAAAATAAAACAAAACAAAACAAACAAAACCCCTTAGAACTCAACCTTTGAAACTTAAAATATTAACCTATCATCCTTAACTCAAACTGAAATACTGCCTTAAATTTTTAAGAGCAGCATTGATGTGAATTACTAATTGGATTTCCAATTCTTTTTCTACTAATTTAAATTTTCATTGAAGTTCAAGATATTTTCTATGAATACAGAGGAACTCTCCTTAGAGAAAGAAATATAGATCAAAATAAACTAATTTTAAATACTAGTCATTCACTGAACACATGCTTATTAAATGCATATATATTATAAAACAGTGGACAAATACTATCTGTTTGTCCAAGGAGAGTCCACTTTGAGGATAGATGTACAGAGCCTAGTGTGTAGGTAGTTCATATGAATATCTGTATTTAACTTTAAAAGCTTATTTTTTTATTGTGGCCATTGAATATATTACTCAATAGAATACTGGTATTTTAATCCATGTTTTGTAAAATTTGCTATTCTTTTGAATTTGAAACTTGCAACCAAATCTAACTCTAGAGAGCTACCTAGGGAAAAGGTATATTTATGAATGGCCTCTGTTCTCAATATTTATTCAGTAGGGGCTTACCTTTGTTTCAAGTTGCAAATATAATATATTACTCCCATATTGTGTTAGAATTTCTAAATACTATCAGAAAGTTTTCCTATTCTGTGGGGAAGGGTGTGTTGCTTTGATAAATTGTTGTTCAAGGGTGTGGTCACTATAGTGAATGATTGTTCAGGGAAGTAGGCTGCCTGAAAAAAGAATGAGGTCATTGGATAAAGGGGCTGGTGTTTTCAGTTCTGGTCATCTCTTTAGTGCTTACACTAAACAAAACTGTAGAAATTGAATGCAACTAATTGCTGGGTCAAAATGCCTATGGCAATTGTCTCTTCTTTAAGGGAGGTCTAATAAATTGCTGGGGCTATTTTCAGTCAGTAGTAAACAAATATATTAGGGACAATATATTTTTCTTCACACCAGAAGCTATTCCAGTAGAGGCACTTTTTTTCTTAAACTTCCAATGGAGCATATATACTTATGGTATTTAAAGACAAAAAGCATGAGCTGCAAAGAGACTGTATCTACTTTCATTTAGAGAAGAGGGGTGGGAAGGGAGAAAGAAACATCCAGTAACAAGTTCTTAAACTAGAGATTGTATTGCAGGAAAGGGGAGAAAGTAGTTATATTACTAGTACATTCTATTGCTTTATTTACATATCAACAGAATCACAGATTTTATCCTAAATGAAGGAAACATTTGTTTCATCTAAAGCGAGATCATTATAATTTACATGTTCCTCTTTGCACAAAGTTTAGCAATAAACTTAAGCAGGTGTTTAACCATGTTACCGCTATATTTGAAAATTTCTAAAAGCATATCCCATACAATTCAGGGGATTTATTGAAATGGTAGTTTACCTTAGCAAATTCTGTCAGCATAAATGTCAAGTAGTTTTTTAAAGTATTGCCTCTTTTGAAATTGTTCAGCCTAGACATTTCCTAACTATTATTACACTCAGTGATTCCTATAGTTTTTAGAAATGACAGAAACATTATAAGTCTCCATGGTTTCCTTCTTGGTACATTATATTTTATAATGTACATCCTTAGACACTACAACTAGTGCCTAAGTTTTAAAATTCAAATTCAGCAGCATAAAAAGATTACATGTTTATTTCAACAAGCTTCCAAATATTTATAGAACAAAATATGCCATATGTGTGTGTGTGTGTGCTGTATGTGTGTGTGTGTGTGTGTGTGTGTGTGTATTCAAGTACTATATTATCTTGAATAAATCACTTTATCTGTAAGGACCTCAGTTTTTTCATTGTAAAGCAGGGATCCTTCACAATTGATTGTAGTGAATAGTGAATGAGATAGCATGAAAGGTGTTTAGTAAAACGTCATGAGAGTAGCACTCAATAA